ATCTGGTCCAATATGTTTCTGAAAAAAAGAACACACACAGCGCTGTAGAGGCAGACTGAAGGGTCTTTCATGGTTTGTACTGTATTTGTAGTGTGTTCAGTGACAGACGCTGAGGTTTTGTTGTGGCTTTGAGTCCTGCATGAAGGCATGTAAGCTGTATGACTGTGAGCTTTGACTGTAAAGTGTACCATGTGGACAAGACATCTGCTCTGCCACATCTATTATGTTTCAGTTACTCCACACAGAAGACTGAGAAGACGTTTGCCTGACAGATGTTCGCTGAGGACTGGTAACTTGATGGATGCTGCATGTGTCTGTTGATCCCTGAGAATAAAGAGTTGTTCTTTGTAGAGCCCTCTCCCCCCACTCAGCCTGCTGATATCTGCATTCCTCCAGGTCTTTACAAAGATTAACTTATCTGCTAGATAACCTTACGGCCAAAGCCGGAATGATATGTCAATGAAGTGATAAGTTGATCAAAAGGGTATCTGCAACTTCTTGGACAATCAAATGTTCTTTGGGTCATATGTATAGTACAAATGCCAAACTTTCTCTGGTTTCAGCTGCAAATATGCAAGCGTTGTTGGTCAGACAAAAATATTGGATTTTAAGATCTTGGGGTTTTGCTGGAGCTTAAAGCTATTCATATACCTTAAATTAAATGATACATTTACTTATTGAGGATTAACATTTTCATTGAAACATGTAGTACTGAAAAGAGCATCAATAAGATAAGTATGTAGACCGATGCTGATCTCAAGCAGCCCATGAATCTGGATCGCTGCCCATCATTTCCTCTCGAACTTGCATCACATCAAAAGCAACTTGACTGGCGTGAAATGTGGATTATGAAGGCATATCTACCACACACACACACACACACACACACACACGCACAACTTTCACTCTTCAATTGCCAGCCTCTTACTGACTAGCCAGGAGGGTTAAAAGGAAAGATGGACTTCTGAGAGATGAAAGGTGATCTACTGTAGGTGGATTCACCAAATTCGATTTTCATGGTCTGCTGAGATACAGCCACTACTTAAATAGGCGTGTAAGGCAATCACGCATGTACTCTCACACATGCACATGCTCACACGTATCATATAAGCTTCTAAGACAGTGCATGGAAGGCATTCTTTGACACGCATTGATGGGGTAATTTCTTCTCATGAGTGCAATAACACACTTCCATAAAGTAGCTGCGTTCATCAGGGTGTTGGGTGAGTTTAGACACACAGCAGCTGCTTTGATGCTCAGCAGTCTGTCATCACGCTGCTTAGACAAGCAACATGGTACATGTATGTAAAGTGTAAAAAGTTCAATAAATGCTTGGAGCAATTTAAAAAATAAAAACAGCACAATGTGCCACAAAATAAATTATACTTTGGCCTACGATGCCTATGTTACCACTCACTTTGACAGACTGAAAAACACAGAGAACTGAATTTGAAAGACGGCTATAGCGATCGTGTCCACCATAGTATTCAGCACAAGAGAAAAAAGGCCACAGCTGTGTAGTGCAGAGCGTAAATCAACTTGACTATGTCCCAGTCCTGTAATTTCACAATCCTCCACTGAGCATAAACATTCCCTGAATGATCTTCATTCCAGGCATTATCACTCCTCACGGGATTACCGGCTATAAGGATGGATGTATTAAGACTTTAAAAAAGACCTGAATGAAAATCAATCTGCCTCAAGGCTAGACCTTTTTGCCCTTTGTCATAAATTGCAATCTTGTTTATTCATTCATAAGCTTTGTGGTTGATTTACACGTTTCTTCAGTCCTCTGTGCCGTAATCCCTCCATGACTACCTCAGATAATGTGCCAGTCTCGCATTGAAGGATCTTCTCATCCTGCTCTCGACCCCCACAGCTCCACCCCTCACCCCATTTCTTTGTCTTTTTACATCTTGCTCTTTCCCCTTTAGTCCCAAAGCCCGAGTTGGCAGGTAGTGGGCAGGGCTGTGTTCAGTCTTGTCGGGGTAAATTATGGATCAGGTGGCTGGTAAGCTGTCAGAGGTACCAGCTCTGTGCGGGTGCCAAAAACACCGCAGGCATTCCCTGGCACACGAACACACACCTCCCACCTTCAACCCCCCAAATACATAAACATGGTTATCGAAGCAAGGGAGCCCCTCATCTTCACCGCCATCAAACCTCATGTGTTTTCATCTAACATTACTTATTCACTGCACACATGGTCACATATGGAGGCACATGCTTAAGTTCATGAACAAACACAAGTGAACATCAGATTTATATAGGCATGCATGAAAGCAGAAACACAAACACACACACATATGGTGTGCAGCCTCCTCCTCCCTCTTTCTGGAGGAGCTCCAACGTGCCCCTAAATCTCAGCACAGGGTATGTTCTGGCACAGAAAACACATCAATACACTGGCTTTTTGCAATTAGAGGAAGGTACGCACACAGCTCCTCCGCTTCTGCAAATCAACTAATTCACAGATGAGACACACACTTAATCTAAACAGCTGGTCTGTTATGGAGATAAAGCAGAGAGAGAGAGAACGAGAGGGCTGCAGGTTTGTTCAATACCTGCACCTAAAAGCTTAACTGACAGCCCTATTGCCTGTAATAAGTCACTTTACGCAGCCTTACAGATGTTGGTATTCTCTAAGCATAACCTGATGTCAAAGTAATTACCGTGTGCTAATTTGTCACAGCAGAGGTATAAAACAAAGGTAGAAGAGATACAAGGAAGGAGAGAGGATGGATGCAGAGGGGGAGCAGGGGGGAAGGAGAGGCCGGTGGCCCGTACGAGGCAGGGTGTGATTTTAATGCGTGGAGCTCAGTCTCATTACAGGCTTCGGTCTGAGGAGCGCAGGGGTCAGACCTGATCCAAACCCACACTGACAAGTGCAAATGGGATTCTGCTGTCTGTCTCAACACCCTTTGTACACACACCCGCCCCACAAACACACTTTCTCCCGAAAACCAACCCCCTCTTTTAACACACACACTCTATCTCCCAAAGGCATCACCCTGTATACGTTAGGGTAAACACACACATATGCATTCACACAGATATCCATAAACACACAGGAAATCAGAGTGACAAAGTGAAGCGCCTCTTCTTTTTGTTAGCTTTCTCTGCATCTGCGTTCCCTCCCAACATTACAGCACCTTCTTCCACAGGCAAGGACATTTTTCAACATCATCCATTTGATATTTTTGTAATCTAAAAGTGTGTCTCTCTCTGTAGTTGATATGTTGTCCTCAAGACCAGTGACCTAACTTCTGGCACAATTCCATAAAACTTGACCAACTCATTCGATCTTAGTTTATGACCCCAGTAGCGGTTGCACAATATCATTCACATAGACACACATTTTAAAAATGCATACACATAAATCTAGCTTTGCACATGGGACCGTCATGTGAGGCAGGGTGGGCAGCGTGGACTTGCACAATCACCATGATGAATCACCCCATGTAATGGCCTGCCGAAAAGTACTTTATTGTTAAATAGTGCTTTTCCGTGGAGACTGGCTATCTACATGACCTACACACACGGCTAATACATGCAGTTAACACACACTCCCCCCCAAAAAAGGCAACGACCTAGGAATAAATTACCATTGACCTTTATACACAGCATGTTAAAGATGCAGCATCCTAAGTGTGCTAGACGTGTATGAAAACATACAGAGATGTTACAACGATAAAAACCCCGGCTGTACATGACCTATGAATGCACAAACAACTTTTAACACAGAAATACTCTTGAGTGGAGGGGCAGGGTATATTTCCAGTGTGAATGGCCATTCATGTAAAAGGAAACCACAAAATGACCATGTTTCCTCTCTGCTTAAATGTTGAACGAGCATGTGCCCATAAGCAACCCGGAAGCATGCAGACCGCCTTGCAACATAAAAAAAAAAGGTGTTCTTAGAAATTAAATATGAAAAGCATAAAATATGCAGCTAGCTCCCACAATGCCAACACTGCCTCTGACACAGGCTTTCTCTCCTTCGTTCCCACTGCATGTTTTATTCAGGACTGATATTCTAAAAGCTGAAATAGAACAATCTATTTTCCCTTGCACTCCTCACTTCTGATTTACTGATGAATATTTCAGAGGAATGTCAGAAAAGACAGAGAAACTCCACTCGGCAAGCCGGCGTCTGCCTCACCTCCCATCCTCCCTCCGTGTTACAAGACAGCTACGTGATCCTCTTGCAAGGCTCACTTAAGTAGCAGATTTGCTTAATTTTCTACATGATTTAACAATTTGTGGAGTGAGTGTTCGGGGGCATGAGAAGGGGGCGAGAGAGGAGTCTTTGGCCCATGAGTGGAGGAAAGTGAAAACGGGGGAGAGGGGGGGGGGGGGGAAAGATAAAAAGAGGCACAGTGCTGCACAGACAGGACACTTGATATGAGGGGGGGGGGGGAACAAGTCCCCGAACAGAAGAGAATTCAAGCTACCTGCTGAACCCAGTTCTGTTTCAAAAACTTTACGTAAAACTCTTTCTAAATGTATTCCAAATAAAAAAAAGGCAAAAAATGTGACTTGATTAATTTTCTTTCACAACTTAAAATATGAATACATGCAGTAAGAATAAACAAGCAGGTAAGTACATTATGGACACATGTTAAAGGCACACATCTGCTCCTGCTCTTTCCAGTCCCTCATGCCTATTTATACCTGACTGGAATGCCAGTTAGTGAGTGACTGACACACACGCACACACACACACACACAGCTATTGTTCTGTTTGAGTCGAAGCAAAGTCATGGGCACTGCTACGATAAAGGGAACAGAAGAGAAAACAGTGACTAAAGAAGACAGAGGGACACAGTATGGGAGTTTCTCTTTCACACATGGACATGTACACACACACACACACACACACACACACACACACACACACACACACACACACACACACACACACACACACACACACACACACACACACACACACACACACACATACAAACACACACACAAGGAGCACAGATGGTACTCACAGTCTCTCACTGGTGCGGGGGATATTCCTTGGCATGGTTTTGAGACCCAGTCCATGGCAGTCCACTGTGGTGCCGCTGCAGGTACACAGGGCTGGGCAGGCGCTGCTGTGGCCCACGAGCAGAGCGCAGAGCATCCCCACCCACATCCAGAGGGCAAGCCGTCCCATGCCTGCCCCAAAGCAGCTACCTCTGACGGGCATATTCACCTCCACTGCAGACAGCTCTGCTTCAACAAAACCCTTACTTCTCTCTGTCCACCTTTTCTCTGGAGGAAAGAAAAGAGTCCTGCTACACCTTGCAAGTCCTCTAAAATAATGAAATATGTGTATAAATAGAAGACAAAACTAAAAGAAATGCTAATATGTTCCTCTAAGCTGTGAAGCAAATTCCTTTTTGTTCTTCTATATTTCTTTTGATGTAGGTATGATATCCACCACAGTTTGCTGATGTTAAAAAAAGCTTGTTTTTTTCTTTCTCTTGTTTTCTCCTTGCAAACTCTTCTCCTCTCTTGTCTCTGTGGAGTTGCTGTGCTCTGGTCTGCACACGTCTGCGTCTCTGTCCTCCTCTCACTCAGTCCCGCTCTGCTCTGCTCGCCTGAAGAGAGAGGGAATAGAGAAAGAGAAAAAAAACCCAGTCTCTCTCTCTCTCTCTCTCTCTCTTACACACACTCACACACACACACACACACCAGTCATCCATCACAAGGATCTACAAATAGCAGAGCCCCCCGACTCCACCCCTACCCCTCCTCTCCACCCCCATTTCTCTCCCTCCTCACACAACAGCCCCCCCACACCCCAGAACCCTGCCTGAACTCACTCTCATTCTCCAGATCCCTTTCTTTCCCTTGATTCTATTCACATTACAGATCTACTTCAAGTATTTGTATTTTTACTCACTCCAATCCTTTTCTCTCAGGTTGGCCTCCAGGCAAACCCCTAGAGAGAGACCTAACCTGCATGACACTGCATAACCCCTGCCCGAAGGGAGATTCTGTGGGGAGACTGGGCTGTGTCAGTGTGTGTGTGTGTGTGTGTTTGTGCGTGTGTGTGTCTGAATGCATACATGTAGCGAAAGAGAATCCACTGGGAAAAAGAGGAAATCAACACCTCCGTCCTTGGAGGCAAACATACGGACTAAACAATCCGTAAATGTGGGTCTAACGTTGAGATCGAGTGGCCCCACACACACAGAAGCTGCAGGAAGGACCTGGTATGAAAAGTAAACGCACTCAGACACAGATATTAATGATCTGTTGGAAGGCAGACCACAGTCATAAAAAGCCAACACTTTATGTTAAGCATGAACAGCAACAGAAATTATTTCCTAATACATTAAAAGACAAGCAGCTACTCTCATAACCAAACCACTCTGCCATTTGGATTTATGGCAGTAACTGGCTAAACATCCCCCTCTTAATTCCAGGATCATGCATTTCACTGGACTCAAAGCATACAGACATAAACTGGACTGTGTTGAGGAGGGGAAACTAAATGATAAGCATATAAATATTATTTTCAAAAGTTGGACATCTAGTTAAAACACTATATTTTAGAGTCCAGCCACTGTTGACAGTGTAATTGTAGCTTTCACAAAACTTGTTCCAAATCCATATTGATTTGTAGTTGCTTGAATTGCAAATCACTGTGAGGAAATTGGTAGGAAATGGCCCTCTGGTTTTAGTGGGTTGAATCCAGAGAGCATTGTTCACAGTTATCCACACAATAAAACAAATGGTGACACCATAAAATAAAGTGCAGGAAATTGAGAAAAGTGATCAAGAAAAGAGCAACAACATGTCTTGTTGATGATTAGATTGATTAGATCCTGGATATTTGGGTATCTGCATACTCATCACCTACGTATTGAGGCTGCTAGATTAACGCAGGATCAACTGCTAAACGGCACAAAATCAATACAAAATACTTAGACCACTTTCTATTTATCCATAAACATTAGTTACTTTTACATCCCTTCTTGTAAGGGATTGCACAGGCAACAAAAGTGTCAATGATGCATTATTGGTTTGGTGTCCTTTAGTACAGATTCAGCATTAATCCAGAATGATTCATTATGCACTCATGTAGAGATTCACAGATAAACAAATCATTATACACTACATGGCTCCTATATTGAATTTATAAAGCGATTTGTGTTGGTTTTGTAAATGAGTCGATATGATTCTTTCTATAAATCAGAAGGAATTACTACTTTTTAGCAGTTTTGGCTCCTTAGTTTTTGTTTGTTAAAAAAACTGTTATAAAAAAGCTAAAACTAAACTAAAAGTTGGTACTTAACTAAAACTAAGCCACCAGGTCTCTGGTGTAGTTCTGCAGAGGGCTTTGCTGCAGGGTGGATCCCTCCCAACAGAAACATCAGAACAGTCCCAAAGACCCAAGAACTCTTTCACTTGAAATATGCAAGCAGACACATTTGTGCACATGTGTCTGTCTGCTTTGTTTCTTGACCAACTGGAAACAAGTACATGTGCTGAGGTGTGTGTGTGTGTGTATGCGTGTGTGTGTGTGTGTGTGTGTGTATGCGTGTGTGTGTGTGTGTGTGTGTGTGTGTGTGTGTGTGTGTGTGTGTGTGTGTGCGTGTGTGTGTGTGTGTGTGCACGTGTACACACAGTTACCCTCGTCTGAAAAAATACTCCATCTGTCCCCGTAAAAGTGTCAGTGCAATGTAGATCTTTCTCCTATGAATGGCTAATTAAAAGGGGCACAGTGGTGTTTAGTGGTAATGGGGGGTGGCGGTAACGTCCCTTCGCTCTCACAGTCGTGATTGGAATACACGCAAACACACAACGTGAATTTTCTCCTGCTTTCAAAGCCGTGGGAGGACATGGCAGCAATTTGCAATTAATCTGGAGGATTGGAAGAGTTTGCAAAAACAAACAAGCTCACCAACAATTGACTCTGATGAGGAAATAACTGCAATTAATGTGAAACGGCTCCCAATTTTAAAGTTCACAGTAGTGCTGATGCCAGTTGAAAAAGTTATTTTTCAACAGTTGGAATCAAATTAGAAATCAAAGAAACAAGACAGAGTTGGCAGCTGCTCGTACCTAAACAAAAGAATGACGTTTTTAGTTCCTACATGTGTGATTTACAAAACCAAATGTGCTTAATAGAGAGAAAGAAAAAACTAAGAGAAACCAAATGTAGCATCCAGAAAGTTCCACAGCATGGTTCAAACCCGTCATTTCTATTTCACCCTCAGAAGAGCTGTGCCTCAGAGAAAAGGAAAGAATGTTTCCTCAACCATCCATTGTTGACACAAAAAAAATACAAAATCATGCTGGAATCTACAAAGAATATTTAAACCTTAAATGTTTTTCCTTGCTCTATCTGTAGTTCTAGAGAGAATGAGCTCCCTCTGAAAGGCATTTCGTTGCAAACACTAGCAAAATCACATCTACTCATAAGTGCTTGTGGGTTTTGTTGCACACCAGATAATGTAAAGTTGATTACAGTACGTCGGACTCATTTTACAGTCATCATTCTCATTTTGGAGTAGGAATGCTAAATAAAGCCCCTCCAGAGTTTTGGCTGTAAAACAATGCTATTCCTATCATGGAAGCTGTCTGATGTATATTTACAGAACATGAGAAAAAGCAGGCCCATTCTCACAGATGTTTACAACATATACTTACAATACCAAACATGCATTGACATGGACACCATAATGACACACTGAGACATTCCTCCTATTGTAGAGGGCAGCCTCCACTCTTAACATCCACCCACTCTCTCTCAAACTCCGTAAAATATGTCCATTTCATGGGCAAATCCAGCATGATTTTGAGTAACAGATTATTCCTTTAGTGGCCTTTTGGGTACTTATTAGTGTATTTAGCTTCAAACTGATTTACATTTTATTTCACAAATCTGTAAACTTTAGCAACATGTAACCTTTTATGTCAAATTTGTTTTTGTTTGAATTGTCATTTTCTTCCAGTTTCTTATTTGCTTCAATGGACACTTTTAAGCCTAAACATGAACACACAACTTGTTGACTACTTTCTGGCTGTTTGACATCGGGACATGTACTATTGTAGTTGGAAGAAGTTGAAGAAAGGGGTAAGAAAAATGTAAAGCAACATGTATTTTTAATACGTTTTATTTTAGAGTGGCTACTGGGATGCATTTAATTTAATTTATATTAATTAAGAATGAGTCTTTTTTGGTTAAGTATTGAATGTTTATGAACTTATTTATGGTGTTTTGCAGATTTCTCTCATGTTGACCGGTCTTTAACAGTTGTCTCTACTTCACGAACAAATCAAAGCACGTCATACACGCCATGGATGAACCAAATGTGCTCTGGCTGAATAACTATTTGCAACTAAACAGCATCACCTTGTGGCTGCAAGAAAAACAGTTGCAGAGGGGAGCGTCACTCAAATTCCTTTTAACACCAATGAAGGAAGAATATGGAAAAAAGGGTCATCATTACTTCAAGCACACAGTATATCATGTCAAATGAAAAGACACCAACAGAACTCCGCTTGATGTCTTTTAATTACAGTAAGTTGCATAGCTTCACAGTAGCATTACGATCATCAGTTTACATGGTCAATGAAAGAGTGTTGGCAATCATCACATTATAGTTGAATTGTAACAGCTTGGCAGAGTGACCATTGACCTGAAAACTGCTACTGAAAGAGTTAAAAGACAACAAGCAGGCTGTAAAAGTGGCAGTGGCTCCAACTCTGAGAGAAAGCACCTGCTTTAACCACCACCTTTGAAGGCAAACAACAAATCCTTCTTCATTTGCACTCAACTTTTTCAAAATAAAAGATAAATATAGAAAAATCTAAAAAAGTCAAAAGAAAAAATGCTGCACAAATGCATAGAAATGTATAAAACTGTATACGATGTTGCATAAGAGTCAACACTGACATAAGACAACTTAAATATAAAAGCAAGACCAAGTAGTATTTTAAAGTAGCAGTAGTTTAAAGACTCACAGCTTGAAACCCAGGAATTGAGCTAATGGAAACAAAGACAAACTATTTAATCTACACAAGCTGGTCTTTCTCTTGTTATATGATGCTTGAATTCAATCTTTATAGACAGTTCAGCACACTACCAAAGCAATTAGGAATGTAAAAAAACAAACAATTGCATTATACAGTTTCTTAAGACATATTCACTTTAAGGCACTCAGAATTCACACTTTTCTAAAAAAAAGTCTTGAAGGGTCTGCATTGACTGTGTCAGTCCAATTAAGGTATGTTATGCTTACAAAGACAAATGTCACATTTAAATAGAAAGAGCCTGCGTATCACATCTTATCAAAACATCTGATGCTTTGGAATCCAGGAAATAAAACAGCCATACGAGCAATACAAAATAAATACAATTTGGTTTGCAAATTAAATAAACGCGTTCCAGGTGATAAAGCGAAACACCCACAAATTCACTGGTTAAAATACAGATCATTTGCTTCCTGCTAAAAGATGTAATTAAAAATATGTAAAGAAATGAAGACGGACCACCTATGGACTGGGTAAGAAAACACGTGAACTGCATTGACTTAAAATGAATGGATCATCCGATTGAACTCTTTTTAGACTTTCAGCTTCAG